TATGCTCCACGTGGTTGCCATACTTGCTGGAAGACCTCGATATCTACATGCGCCAAGTGCCGGAAACAATGTGTTAAGACAACTCATTCTTCAACTCAACGAATGACAGTCTGTTTTGCTTCGAGTGTACCGCAAACCACATCAAGGACGCTACGATTGCTGGTGGAGATTCTCCAGAGCTACCTTCAACCAGACTCTATTCCTGAAAGCACGCTCGAGGACGAAGATGAAGAGGAGTTCAAGAAGGCTCACATTGCTCCTGAACAACAACAAGCACATGGAAGCTTCATCGCTCGAGGCATGATTTTTCACAATGATCGGTACCACAACTTCACGGTGATCAAGGGTGTCAAGATGCATGGACTACTCATCGACCCCAGAGCTTCGCGAGGATTAATTGGCACAGACACGCTTGCAGATATGATGGAGCAGATTCTCAAGCCGAAGCGTCTCGACAGATTCGCGACGTGGAAGCCCAGCACTGACAAGTTTACTGGTATCACAGCAGACCCAGAGAAGTCTCTGTCATTGGTAATGTTTCCGATTGGTCTTCAAGAAATCAAGAATGCGACGTTCACGGCAAATGTTCTTGGTGGAAGCTCATCAAAATAACCTGGCTTGACTCCATGCGTGAGCTTGCTCAATGCTGAATGCATCATACGTTGTAGATATTTCAACAATAACGACGGCTTGCTTGGCATCCAGACTACAGGTGGATTAATATGTGCACAGCGACTTCTATTCACAAATTCTGGACATTACTTGCTACCGATCAACCAGTTCAAGAAGCCCCGAGATCGCAAACAGGACTGTCTGGTAAGGAACGAGAAGCAACTCCTTGGACGAGCAGCACAGCGACAGTTACCACCATCTCCGGCATTGGACTTCTACTCCTGCCAATAATATTCACAGAACACGCATATTTCGACGGCATTCGTGGCAGGACTGTATACGGAACAGGATGGTGAAGAAACGGTCACAGTGCCGACACTTTTTCAATGAGTCCTGAACATGACTAGAAACTGTTTGGTCACGAATTGCATGTATTCCAGAATCCTACGGTTCAAAGATGCCTCCATGCTGGGGTACGATTTCAGCACCACGTTGGACTGGCACGCCTATGTTTCCAAGCTTTCTCTCTCAAGACGAGCTCAACGAGGCCAACAATCAATTCAACGCTATTCCGGAGATGTTCTACATCACTCTCAAGAGTCTACCTGTCATTACTCCTGTTTCTCTCTACTCATGGACATAATCTCTGAAAGCCTTGGTCATGGACTACCGCAGATCGCTTTATGGACGTGGTGCTCAGGTTCCTCAAGGCTCGCCCTTATCATGCTCTCAGCGCACTTCGACCAGCTTGTACTCTTTCCTGTGGATTTGAGATATGGCTGGGATCTACGTCTACCTGAGCATCAGCAGCTACTACGGACGGTCGACAGCTACTTTGCTCCTATCGTGACGACATACGAGAGGCGATGCAATATTGGAGGAGAATGGGAAGCAGCAGAGATCCAGAGGTCACAGCAGAACGGAGAAAGCAGGACACTGGCATGTTGAAGTTTCTCCTGCAGCACGCCTCTAGCACGACGCTACAAGATCGACGTGGACTGATCGAGAACCCGAAATCTTCAGCCACGTTTGACATCGTTGCAATACCACGAGAAGTTCAGCGGATACACCTATACTACGGACATGTGTAGATATTCTCCATTGCCAGATGGACTGCGACATCGGAAAGAAACACGACTTACGAATACTTTCCGGTTACAGCATTCCACGGGACGTTGCAGGTGTCGTCGTAGGCACGAGCAGCTGGAAGGATACGATCGAGACCAACATCGAAATATACCAGCAACATCAGCAGCATACTCAGGAAGATTCTGCTCATGCGTTTGCAGAGACATTATGCCGTTGCTCAAACCTATGAGAAGAAAGACACACAGGAATTATCCAGTCGACGAGCAGCCAATACCACTTGCAGATGACGAAGAAGAGACAACTACCCCCGAAACATCACGAACGAGCAGCAGTTGGAACGACGGAATCTGAATGACCTTCTCAAGCAAATGGGCGTGGCGCACCTCGAGACTCAGTATGGGTATTGCCGCTTTCTTGAAGGACTTGACTAACAAATGCTGAAGGCATGTTTGCAGGACTTGTTGGATTACTCAACGAGAACTATCATTCCTGGACAGCCATCGACAAGAATCCTCGAAGTTCCTGGAATTCAACTCGAGCATCCCACAGGCTTGTCTACAGACCATACTCAGCACTGTCGTCATGGTCGCGGCTCTGGACATCGAGATTTGACCACGACAGATTTATTTATGCGATGCACCAGAACCCCCACCAGCGAACGCATCAAAGGACAGGCTATTATTCAATGGTTTCTCTGCTGGCAGCATACGCGTTGAATTCCTGTATGATTGGCAGAACTGCGATTCGGATGCCATGAGAACGCTATCATATCACGACGTGTTTTCATATGATACAGCTTCTCGGACAATTGGCCCTGGAATGACACCTACAATATGCCAGGAGAAGAATAACGGCGAAGAAAACACTACCTAACATTCCCCGGCGTGAAGATGCCAGAACGGGTTTGTTACCATCCGAACCAGCTGGTGAAATTACCAGGAGAAAGATTACGTCAAAGAGAAGCTTGCGGCATATTCCTCGACCTGGAGATGACAGCAACGATTCGATACCACCTGAACCAGCTGGGAAGTTGCAATGATTTCCCGAGGACGTCCTGAAGCGGTCGAGCCCAGCATCGACCTAAAGGACCTTCCTGGTAAGCTTGTCAAGGCATCGCCAGAAGAACAACATCGACTACCACGAGGAGTGCATGAACGTTTTTGGCACAACTCTCCTAAGGATATGTCACGACTTCTTCAGGCAGCTCTCTTATCCAAGGATATCATCTTGGAAGGAGTTCAGATCGCAAAAGATTGCTCAACCTGTCAATATCAACAGAAACATCTCCATGCACCTATCATCAAGTCTCAGCTGTCTAACGCCTTCAATCAAATAGTTCAGCACGATTTGTTTTCATGTGGGAGCTTGTCTTCATGTTGTTGCTTGACAAGGCTATTCGATGGAAGGCAAGCTATCAGATTGAGAACAAAACTTGGACCTACGCGTGTTAGCGCATTGTACAGGCAATGAATACGATTCGGGGGACCTTCGCGATATATTCTTTCGGACCAAGAAGGAGGCCTTCTCAGCGGCGAGGCGGCCAGGATGTTCGACCGATTGTCAATCGCGCGCCTGCTTGTTGGGCGAGATGGCTCTACAACAAAACGATTGGTTGAACGCCACATTGCACTTACGAAGATCGCCATGCTGAAGCTGAAGAAGGAACTGAAATCAATGGGGATAGAGATCATACCCGGAGAAATATGTCAAGAAGTTTACATGTCTCAGAACTTGTTATTGGAATACCATGGTGGAACTCCTCAAAGGGCTTTGACTGGAGTTGAGCAACGAGGCTGGTATGTACCAGATTCAGAGACCCTGGAGTCAGCGACTGGTTCATCGTCCTCAAGACCAGACTACGCCGAGCAGATGATGAGAACACGCACGTTGGCAAAATAAACATTCTACAAGGACTTGTGGGGGACAGTCTTTCTAGAGCATCTCTCATCCAGCAATGCAAGCACAGCCATGAGCTACTTATGCCCGGTACTATCATCGACTACTGGAGGCAGCCCAAGCGCAAGGAAGACGACGGATGGCGTGGACCAGCAGAGTTGGTATCAGTCGAACGCCTGGCAGGATCTGCGATTATTAGACACCAAGGACAACCCCTGCTGATATCATTGCAACATGTACGGCGTCATGCCATTACAACAATCCACGACAACATGATGATTATTCGGCGGCGAATTGATGACTGTCGGGATCCGAGGAGGGGGGGAAGGGGGGGATCATTTCTTACAGGATTTGGACAATACTTGCTCTGTACCACTTGAGGCATGCAGACGATATGACTCAAGTGGTACTCGATATGTACCACTTGAGGCAGACAGGCGTATGACTCAAGTTGTACTTGCTTGGTACCACTTGAGGTATCCAGAGGCTGTGCTTCAAGTGGTAGTTCGGTGCTGCTTGAAGCATCCAGACGCTATGCCTCAATTGGTACTTTCTTAGTTCCGCTTGAGGCATCCAGATCATATGCCTCAATGGGTATTTTCTTGGTGGCACTCCAGGCTGATGCCTCACATGGTACTTGCTTGGTACGACGCCGGGGATTTCTGGCATTCCGCCAAGGTCACACACAGTCTGGAGGGTGTCTGGCTTCATGCCGGGCACGTTTCCTCCGAGGACCTGGAGGGGCCCCCACGAACACAAAACATATAGTAATGTGCATGTGTAAGTATATATATACATATATATATATATATATATATATATATTAGATGCATTGCGCGCACTTCGTGCGAGCTCAAGTTCTAGAAGCAGTATCGGCGGAGCCTCTTGCAACTGATGAAGTATCGGCGGAGCCTGCGACAAAAACACGTTTTCGGCCGAACGATGTTGCATGACTCCAGGTAGCCATGGAAGCCTTGTGGGCATCTGGGTCAATCTTGGGCGGCTGGAGATTCGGGAAGCTGAGAGCACTCGTGTGCCAAAAAACACTGCAGGAACCGCGGAGGCGACGGCGTCGGGGGCGAGAAGGAAAAGGGGAGAAGAGGGAGGAGGTTTTGTAACGGGAGAAATAAGAGGAGGACCAAGGAGAGGAGAGAAAAAGAGAGAGAGAGAGAGAGAAGGGAGCCTGGAGGGCGAGGGATGGAGCTGGAAACGAAGTCTTTGGCACGCCAACGCTACGCACAGGTATAAATGGAGGAGGTCGAACTTGAAAAAATGGGCAAGACGTCGTAGGGTGATCACATTGCGTGAGGAGAGGGTACGCAGGAACCAGGAGGAGAAAGAGTCCGCGGACAAGTGCGCGGCGAGGCGGCGGCTGACCGACGCCACAGGCCAGGGGTGGGCTCCCGAAGTGTGTGTCCATGCGGCCCATGCACGGCGTAGTACCTGCGGGTGGTTTGTCGGTCGTCTGTCGTGTCGTTGCCGCCGTCGACGTCTCGCCCGCCACCGTCGCTGTCGTCCTCCCCCTCCTCCTCCTCCTCCTCCTCCTCCTCCTCCTCCTCCTCATTCTCGTATTCCTCAGCCGTCCCCCTCCTCGTCCCCGTGCTCGTCTTCCTCCTCGTCCATCCCTTGTCTTTATTCCACAAACAATGTTTGCACTTCTTCTCATTTCTTTTCCAGGGAACGGGGCCTGGGTTGCGGTCTAGCGGCTCCGTGTTCGCCGTCGCCGTCCCGTCGCCGCCTTCTCGCTGCCCGTCATTTGGGCCTGGGTGGTGGTCTGGCGGCTCCGTGCTCGCCGTCGCAGCCCATCATCTGGGCCTGGGTGGCGGTCTGGCGGCTCGGTGGTCGCCGCCTCGTCGCCAACTCGTCGCCGCGCAGATTAAACAATGTAGACTGCAACGCGTAGATTCTAGCATCCAGGGAGAACCTCGGGATCTACCCCCCCCCCTCGGGTTTATCGAACCCCCCTGAAACACTGCAGTCTACCTACGATTGGGCAGTGCCTGCGCCCAACGCGAGCACGGCCCCGCCGACAACTGCACCCGGCGCGCCGCCCAGCGCGCCGCAAGCACGCCACCCGGCCGGGGCCGTGCGCCGCTGCGTGCGCGGGCCTCGCGGCGCCTACGAAAAAAGGAGGGCACCCCCAAAATCCTCGTCGACCGTGGTTCATTATCAAGGAATGATAAGCCCAGGTTTATGATCTTGAGATGATACCATGTGGATGACTGTTCTGTGGATAGATCGAGCTCAGCCCCCCCACGGCTGAATCATTATCTGTCCGGACTAATCAACCTAAGACTATTATTCCAACATTAAGAACCAAGGTTGATCTCAATGCGGAACGTACTCTCCAACAGCGCCCCCCCCGGCTGAATCATTGTCATTCCTGAATAATTAACCCAGAGTCAATATTCCGGGAACATTATAAACCTGGTTTCTTCTGGGGAAAACAAACCGGTGTCAATATTCCGACATGAAAAACCCGGAGAAACACCTGGGGGGTGGGGGGAAAATAATAATGAAAATCATTCCAGACTTACATACGAACCCCAGTCAATATTCCCGGAACATGGTAAACCCTGGTTAATATCCTTTTTGGGGTCGATAGCCGCACAAAAATATTAACCCGGGTTTACGATGTTCCGGGGGGAACATTACGAACCCCAATCACAATTCCCAGAATGTTTAAGCCCAAGTTCATGATGTTCCGGGAGAGACATTATGAACCCTATTCAATAATCCCGGTACATTATAAACCCAGGTTAATATCTTTTGGGGTTCGTCCTGGAGAAAGGGGCGTGCGCCGCCTCGGCCAGGCGCGGATGGTGCGACGGCCCCCCTCTTCTACCTCCTCCTCCTCCTCCTCCTCCTCCTCCTCCTCGGGATGGGCGGGGTCATGGAGGGCTCCTCCCTCCTTTCCCTCCTCCCCCGTCCTCCTTCCCCCCCCATGGGGGGCGACGAAGAAGGCCCCAGAGGGACCCTTTGGGGCCTCTTTTGGGGTCACCCCCCATGACCGCCCGCCCGACTCCATCGCCCCTCGTGTCCTCCGGCGCCGTGGCGTACAGTCGGACCTAGGACAGAAGAACAGCCTTCAAGAGCATGGGACCCTCCGCCGGCCAAAGCACAGAGAACATCCCTGGGAACCCTCCGCGGGATGCACACAAATATTCAACAAGCACGAAGAACATTAGGGCACCCTCCCCGAACGACCTCGATCTTATACCTCCGTCCGCTTGTTGGAGGAGCGACAAAGGGACCCCGAACCCTCTGAGAGGGGACCGAAGTTGAGGGCCAAGAGCAGCAGGGATAGGGGGTCTTTTCTGCAGATGCGACGGGCCAAACCGCCCAGCTCTGTCCCTGATGAATAATCGGGGACCTAAGTGAGGCGGCGTCTCCATTGCGCTATTAGGGTTAGTGCTTATGTTCTCGGTGATAAGATCGGCTACACGCAGGAGTGATCATGGGTGAGCAAGACCTTCGATGCGCGGCTTTTGAGGGCCGCAGGGGGCCCAGACACAAGCGCGCAAGACGCTACTAACTATTACCGCATCGCGTTCGGCGATCGGGGGACCCTGGTTAACTGGCTGGCACCAAAGGTCACTCCGGCGAAGGGTCACTCTGACGTGTCGCCGATGATCAGAAGGGGAGCAAGCGCAGCGGGCGCCGCCGGACGGGCCGGGCCTCCGGCTGCGCGGGCCCAGCGGGCGGCAACGCAGCGGCGGCGCACCCGCGGGCTACCTGGCCGTGGCCATCGCGGTGGGCCCGCAGGATTAAACCAGGGTAGGGGGATCAAGCCGGATTCGACGGGATTCAACCGGACTCAGCGGGATCTAGCCGGATTCGGCCAGACTTCGGACCGAGGCAAAGCCAGAATCTGACCTCCCAGGAGTGGCATCCGACGAGGCGGGCACTGGCCGCTGCTCCTGGCAGCGGGTCAACCGCCGCATTGCCCGCCCTGTCCACCTCGGGCATGCCGACGGCAAGAGCGAGGGAGGCGCACACTGCCGGGACAGATTGCAACGCGCGCGCTCAGTGCAAGTGCGGCCGCGTCAGAACCGCTTGGGAAGCCGCCAATGGGAAGGGCCGCCCCAGCTTGCAAGATAAGCGTCTTCTAAGAAGAACGAGCTGAAAAGGGGGCGGCCCTCGGAATCCCTGGAACTCGGCCCTGGACCGACAACACCACTTCGCAGCGCGCGAAGACGTCCTCGGGTCGTACATGTTCAAAGAAAGCCAGGTGACGCGGCCCCCTTGGGCGGTCAAGGTTGTGCCCATCCTTGCCGGAAGGCATGGTTGGGCGCTGGGCGTATGGGAGGGCAAGTCGTGCAACCGCAAAACAGCTAGCCGTCGAGACATACCTCCTCCACCTCCTTCACCCTCCTTCTCCCCAATCCTCCTCCTCTACCTCCTCTTCCCTCTCCCCCTCACCCTCTGGAATTCATTCCTCCCACCTACAGTCAAAACTGAATAGTCAGGATGCACGATGAGGATGCAAGGGGCCTTGGAAGGCCATGCCGACATTTTCCGAGCGGGGCGCGGCCAGCGAAAGTGGCCAAGGATCGGCCGAAGGGACAGGATGCAAAGGTACCCTTGGGAAGGTTACCCACCCTTACCATCGGTTTCGACTGTGCCTTGGCGGCGCGCAGAGGGGGGTAGGGAGAGGGGGGGCGGCTTCTTAGAAGGAGGTTGCTTCTCAGACGGCGCCCACCTTACATCATTAGACAAGGCCCACGCCTCCTAGGAAACAGGGTGCTTCTAGCCTTAGGTCGGTCATGTCTTCCTACAGGCGGATTTTGGAAAAAAAAATCACACATAGTCAAACAAATCCCATCAGCCCTCTGGGCGTGAATTGTCTAAGGGGTCACCTCTGTCCAACCCCCTTCTTCCCCTTCGGGGAAGGTTTTATCCTTGTTCAATATTACTATACACGTCCTCCCCCAGGCGACGACGTCCAACCAGGAACCATGAGGACACCATGACGACCCGCCCCCGACCATCCCTGTCGAAAAACCATACAAGCCACACCGTGCCTCAATATTTGGAGCATGCGCGGCCAACCCGATGCGCCCCCCCCCACCATCCGTGTCGAAAAACCATGCAAAGTATAATGTGGGGCAAAGTCTTGAGTCATGCTCGTGAGGCCCGCGAACACTTTGTATTGTTTTCGACACGGACGGCGGGGGTGCCAGCATATTCCCTGCCGTGCGCAGGGCTATTATCCCTGACAAAAAAAACAATACAGCATGCACCTAGCGACTAAATCTGGATCATGCGCGGCCACCCCGCGAACACTGTCACATAGTTTTTGACAGGGACCGCGGGGGTGGTGGCGCGTGGCCTGCTGTGCGCAGGCCAATGCGACGCAACGATGGGCATTGGTTTTCGACAAGGATGACGGGGTCCGACATGTTTCCCGATGTGTGTTGTCACGTGCGCAGGCGCACCTGACGCACTCTGCATCTGCCCCGAGCATGGTGCACCTGACGCGGCTGGAGTCCGCGGCACACCCGGCGCACTCGGAGCACGTGGCACATCTGGGGCACCAGGCGTGCCTGGCACGCTCGGGCGCCAGGGATGCCTGGCGCGCGTGGCGCCCCTGGCACGCGTGGCGCATCTCGCCCAAGCGTCGCGCACCTGGGATCGGCTTTGGTTCCCAGTAACTGCCCATCCAAAGACGACCGCTGAGCATGCTCAAGATCGGGTGTTACTCATGTGTTGGGAGGGCGGGTGGGGGCGAGCTAGACGGCTTGCAGGCCGGTGGGTAGCTTGAACCCTCCCCCTACCCCCTACCCCTGGGCCTGGAGGGGGGGGGCGCGGGTCGTTGGAGCATCTGGATTGGCACAAGATGGCGCCAAGACAGCCCAAGACAGCCCAAGATGACCTCCAAGATCGCTCAAGATAGCCCTCGATGACTAAAGATAGATCCTAACAAGCCTAGACGATGCTCCAGGACCGCACCAAGGCGGCCCCAAGTGGCCACGGAGCCTCCCAAGGAGGCCCCCGAATGGCCAAAATCCTTCAAGGTTGATTCCCTTCTCGCCTTTTCGCTTTCAATGGGCTCTTGAGGCTTCAAGATGGCCCCAAGATGGCCCAAGAGAGAAGACAGGCCCCAGAGAGGCCCAAGACGGTCCCAAGAGTGCCCAAGAGCGCCCCAAGAGCTGCCCAAGAAGGCCCCGCGAGGCCACATTTCAGGTTCCGAAGGGGGGGCCCCGGTTGATCACGCGCTCCTTTTTGAGTCGTGGCCTCCAAGGTGGCCCCAAGAGACCTTCCAGACCCCTCCCAAAGAGCCCCAAGAGGACCCCAAACCTCCCGAACGAGCTCCAAGGGTGCCCCAAGAGGCACCACGGGGACCCCAAAAGGGCCCAGAGACCTCCACAATATCCTCAAGAAGGCCCTTGGATAGCCCCAAGATGCCTCCAAGAGGCTCTCAGAGAGAAAGGCCCAGAAAA